AATACAGGTCGATATCTAACTTTCTTTGGTTCATCGAAGCTATAGACATAGTAAAATCACAGATTTATATTTCAATAAGATTATTTCGAACAGTTTAAGAAATTCGTCATCATCACATTTTCCTGGTCCGACATGCATGTTATATATATATGCCACTGGACGTGCACTAATGATCCCCAAAAGCCTATTTGAAGAAATAAAGAAACTTCACTCCGGATAGACTGATGGTAGTTGTATTAACGTCTGGTCAGCTAGAGGGTTGATTTATTTATTTAGTTAGCTTGTAGGGGATTTAACCACTCTTAATATTGCACTTATGCATTAGATATTAAATGACAGTACCGGTAATATAAATACGAAAAGTCGCATATCTGATAGAAAAGGACTCACCATGAACTATAGGATTGTACGTACGATTGTCATTCTAAATGGCATAACGGACAGTCATTTAAATGCATGCATGTACGCTGTGATAAAAAGGGGTGTCGCAGTTGCAAAGTATTCATCATAAATATATTTCAAATTTATTATTTCCTGTTATTTTTATAAGTTAACGCAGAGACATGTATACACTAGATCTCTATTTAACGACAAGCAACTATATAAATATCTGAATCTGATGTGACTTACCGTTCATCTCTTTCTTTTTTCTTATTTTATTTTTATTTTTGCAGGAATATACACATTGTAAGATATACTGTGTGGTTAGGTGACGTCCCATGAGGTCTTACGTATACATGTTCATATTTATAATGGTTTCTGATATAACAATTAGGTTTTATAACATTCACACTTCTGCATGTTCTGTATACCAAATTCGTATCTTTTTTTCAGACCGAATGAGGATGTGAATATTTTCCAGGATCAAATTCATTTCGGGATTTTTTTTATTTCTTTGTATTAAATCTCAGAAATTTACAGAATATACTGCTTGTCCGCTTTAGGAGTTTTCTTGTCAGTTTAAACAGACGTATATATGTCTCTGGTTTAGAGTGGGTTTATGAATGAATGATAAGTCTTACAAAGGTACAAGATATCAAGCACATTGAAAATTGATTTCGACGTTCTGTCTCCATTTAAAAAAGGAAAGTTGACGTTAGATTGATTCTGTTATTTTTTTAAACATCGTTGGTCAAATAGCTTAAGAATTATATAAATACGTTGTGAGATTTATAATATTTTAATAAGGGCATTCCTGATTAGGTAAATGAAGATCGCTTTGGACGACAAAACTATATTTTTGTAACTGATAATTTTCTCTGCACATTTAAATATTCAAGGTTACCGATGATAATTTAAAATAGTACTGTTTTGATATATACGCTCGTTTTCGTGTGCCATTTATAATATTTATATAATTATTTTATTAAAAGTGATTCAGAATTTCGATGTTACAACAAAATACTCACCTATTTATTTAAAAACTGAGCAAATGCAAAATGTTAAAAAAATATATATGTAACGGCGATTAAGGTATTTTGCCACTATATTCCTCCCTTAATAATTAAAAAAATCTGTCTCATACCTGCAACGGTGAACCCTTGAGGACAAACACCACTCTAGTGAAGATCAAAGGATTAACATTACATAATGCTAATCTTTTAATTACCGTGAATTTAACCACGCCTTTACCAGGTGGTGTCAGCATAATACACATGCATTGTATTTACACAGTACTAGACTGATGCAAGGATTTGTATAGTAAGACAAATCCTCGACTGAAGTAATAGGGGAGAATACAAACGTGAATTTCTATTATACTATCAGTTATATATGTTGTTCAAAATATCCGTCGAAAAAAAAATCATAAAAAAAATCTATTGCATGATTTGCTTTTATTACTATAATCATATCAGAAACCCTAAATATATAAATCGTAAATTTTAATTTAAAAAAAATGCACGGCTAATCACTTTTCTTTCTGAATTGTTAGTTGGTTAATAGCTACACCAAAAGTCGTTGATGCGCTTTAAATCGCGTTATTAGATGATTAACGAACAAGACTTTAAATGAGATTAATCCACTCCCGGCATGCAAAAAGACTTAAACTACGTCACATAAGTCAGGAAGTTTGAATAAATAGAATTAATAATTCCCAATTTTCTTCTTTATTAGTTTTCATATCCAGATAAAACTTGGTGAATATGTTTTTAATGGTATTATGAACATAATAAGATGATAAGTAAAAAATCGCGAATTTTCCCTTTAATACTTTTCTACATTGTGTGCTAATTGGATTAATGTGAAATGAAATGTGTGCTTACCTGGAAAAAGAAAATAGGAAATTTCTACAAAATGGCTGTAAACAAAATGGAGTACAATTATAGATGCACAAGAACACAATTGTGTAATTGCAACAACCTACACTGAAGGATTAGGGAGAAATGTAGAAAAAAAAGTATTTTTTTGTCGAAATAAACACCTGCTTTATCCATTCATGTACATAGCTCTGTCATATCAACTATATAGAGGAAGATGTTTGAAGAACAAATTGCAAAAATGTATTCTCTACCAATTGAAGGAAGATGTCTGGTGGATGGAATTATTTATGCACTGAACTGTTTTGTAGGGGATTGAATAATTGTACGCAGCAGAAAAGTTAAATTAACATGAAAAGTGGTTATTTTATTTAATCCGCAAATATGAGCACAATATTAATAACATCACAAATAGTATGATATTCATAGCGTTTTGCTTATTATTGTATTGTCTCAAACAGCTAGCCTATTGTTTTTGTATGTCATGTTACTCATCAGTGAACATTTTATTAAAGTTTTAATTATCTTTTGTATCAATTATTCAGTCTCAGGAAAAATTATATTCATACTGTTTTTACTGTTATGAAATTTTCATAGAGGAAAATTGAATGAGAGAAATTTCCATAGAGGAAATTTGGAGAACAATGTTTTCCTTAGAGGAAATTTGTGGTCTTGAATTTTCCCTCAAGGAAAAGTGTTTGTCAAAAATTTCCTCACAGGAAATTGCTGTTGACAAAAATTCCTCACAGGAAAAAGTATTTCCTCAAAGGAAAATTTGAAGCTGCAAATTTCCTCACAGGAAAAAGTATTTCCTCAGAGGAAAATTTGAAGCCTCAAATTTCCTCAGAGGAAATAGAATTTCCTCAAAGGAAAATTTGAAGCCGCAAATTTCCTCACAGGAAATAGAATTTCCTCAAAGGAAATATTAATGCAGCAAATTCCCTAAGGGAAATCTTTTTCCCTTGAGGAATATACAATTTCCCTTAAGGAAAAATCTTTTTCCTTCAGGGAAATTTGATTTCTCTTGAGGAAAACTACTTTTCCTCTGAGGAAATTGTTGAAAAAAGGGGCATAACTTTTTCAACAGTGGTGCTAGAGCCAAAATTTTTTAGGACAAATATCAGGGAACCAATACCAACCAAGTTATCAACTTCATTTTGACTTAACTCCAAAAATTAAGGTGACAACTTTTGCACTCAGCGGAAGTGCAAACTTGTCCCGGAGACTGTTCATTCTTTCTTCGTCTACACTGAAACACCATATCTAATTTACTTTAATAATAACACTATGGTTATTATATAATAATAACAATTCATATGATGATTCAAACGATAATAAAATTAATATAAAAGCAGAATAAATAAATAAATAAATAAAAGTCATTATAGCCATCAATTTGCTGTTTAATTGACGTTTTTGTGGTTAGATATTAGTAATATAATATAAAATTATATTTGAAGTCTTTCATTTTTTGGAAAAATTATATTTAAAAAGATATCGAGGATCCAGGGACTTTGAAAATCAGGGTACAATTTTTGCACGTCGTGCTTATGCACATGTGCAGCATAAATAAAGGCAACAGTAGTATACCGGTGTTCAAAAGTCGTAAATCGATTGAGGGAAAAAAATCCGGGTTACAAACTAAAACCGAGGATAACACATCAACTATAAGAGGAAAACAAGGGAATAACATGAACATTGAAGTGCAACAAAACCAAACGCCAACATACATAGAAACGTACTATTCGATAACAACTGCCATATTGGAACAGGACATTTTAAGAAAAAAATGGTGGGTTGAACCTGGTTTAATGGCTAGTCAAACCTCCCGCTTTATGACAATTTAAAAAAAAAATCGCTAAAATGACAACACTACGTGACAGAAATACAGCACAAACACACGCAAGAACATTCATCACAGAGAAACGCACAGACAAATAATTTAATAGTCGACACAACATGCAAACCGCAGAACAACGACGAACATATTCCATCAACGACCAATTTTTCCATATGCTCCTTTCATGATCAGTATGAACAGCTCTTTATGACATGTACGTGTACTAAACATTTCATTTGAACCATTGGATGAATTCATGGAAAACATATACACATTACAGGATAATATTAAAGGAAAAATATTTCTGACCATCCTGATACCAACTTAAGACATGCATTTTTGTGTCATAACTTTAGAATTTTTCTTAACTTGAGGCACTTTCAAAAATATCACATAGGAAGGAAATATGTCCTAAGACCATCTTAGATTTCTCAGTTTTTATTTTTCTATGTTGTGTTTGCATACTGTTGTTTGTTTTTTGGTCTTTTTATTTTTTTGCCATGGCGTTGTCAGTTTATTTTTGACTTATGAGTTTGAATGTCCCTGTTGGTATCTTAAGGCTCTCTTTTTAGTCCAAAAATACTTTCGAAAATCATGTATGCGTAATAAATGATATTCTATTTGAATATTCTTACAAAATACCGGATTTGTTTACTGTTTTTTGTTGTTGTCAGAATTACAAAATTGTGAACACAATATATTTAAGTGCGTAATAAATAAAATTTTATTTGAATAGTCTTAAAACATACCGGATTTGGTTTTTTTTATTGTGTTTTTCACATCTGATTTATGCTGATATTTACAACTTAACTTTATCAAAATTAATGGCAAATATTTTTTTATTCATCTGTAAGATATATAAAGAGGAAATCTGAATTCTCCGGGACAACATTCTAATCTGAATCATTCTATGTACACTGCACACAAGTGAGGGCATGGATCTTACTCTGTGGAAGTTTGTACTTATTTTTCTTGTGACTTTTGACTTTGTTACAGGTAAATTTTGTTTTCTGTACATGTAAGAACAATATTTTTTTTAATATAATGCCTTCATTCAAAAGTTGATAGATATCTATTTCAATGTTTGTTGTAAGGTTTGGTTCTTATGCATTTGGAATTTGCCGTCCCGTGTGCATATTCTATTTTTTTCAAGATGACCACCACTTGTGACAGTTGTATATTAGCTGTTGACACTATTAAAAAAACACGGTTTTGATTTTTTGCTCTGTGTTGAAGGGCTCACTGTGACTTTGTGATGAAGAACAGTAATAAAAGCGCTGTTCCTTTGCTTTTTGTGTGTTTTTTGCTGTGCATGTACTGAGTTTGTGTCATGGAAGGATACCCCATATCCTTTGTTTTTCTATTATGTATTTATTAAAATATAAGATTGCTGTACAATTTCACTAAGATAAAGCAGTGTTCGAATTAATTAAAATTCATACTGAATATAAACAATGATGATTACTGTTGACATTGTTTAACATTTATTTCGGGGGGAAATGAACTCATCATAGATACCAGATTACTGGATTAAAATTTTGTACACCAGACGCGCGCTTCTACTTGAAAATTAATTTTTGAACTTGACATTATAATCAATCCTATTAATCGTTTGGAGATTGATAACATTAGAAATACAGAAAGATTGACTAGTTCATTTACAACTGAATTTACTCTTATCTAGCAGATGAATTGATATAAAGTTCGGTATCTATTAATTAAACTGCGTATGCTTCAAATTGAATCCTTAATACTTAAAAAAGGATAACATAAATGACCACAAATATTGGACAATACAACAGACCATACCAACTACTGACAACCAATACCTTCAGAAAATAGACGTCCAAACGAAGACAGACAACAACGAATAAAGCATTGCACAGATGATTTGACTTGGTAATTGGGAGACAATGTGGTAAAACACTTTAACGTGTGTACGTATCTCCAATAAACTCATCATCGATACCAACGTTTAACTTTACCATATATCGAACAAGTAAAACACACAACTAAAACCCTTCCCAGTCTATTATATCTTTGACTTGGATGGAGAGTTGTCTCATTGGCACTCATACCACATCTTCTTATATATAGCCCAAATACAAAAACAAGGAAATTAAAGACTGCACACAATTAAATAAGGAGAATTAAAATGTGCTACTACAGGAAGCGAGCCATAGCTTTTGGTTGAAAACCGATTGTTTAAACAAAATGAGAAAAAAAATTCCCAACAAGTTTCATGGAGGTTTCTTATACAATTCAGATCAAATGGTGAAACGATTCAAGTGAGGCCAGTTAGTAAATTTAATCCGACATTTAGAAATGAGGGATGAGAAAATGCGTCTCAAATTGTTTTTGTTAACGGGATTCAGAATATATTTGCAGATAAGATGCTGATAACAACTAGATATAATTTTTTAAGGGAAGTCACCTTAGACTGTGGAATTACCTAATAAATTATTTAAACATTATTGTACAATTTAACATGTCCTATTAGTGCTTTTTATCAATTAATCATCTCAGATGTGGTGATAATATTTACCTAAAACATTGATAACATCTTTAAAGTGAAAGCAATTGCATATAATTAATCTTTCATATAACTTGTATAAATATTCTTTCATCCTGGATTTGGTTTTTGTAACATCTTTAAAATTTTCATTTACTCTTTAAAGTGATTAAATTAATGTAAATATTATCAATCTGAATTCTCCGAAATATTGCTCTACTTTTACTGCATTATATTTACTATACAAACAAATCATTAAGGAAATGAATCTTACTCTGTGAAAGTTTGTTCTAATTTTAATATTGCAACTCTTTACAAATTTTACTTACGGAAACTCTTTTTGGAAACTGTTCACAGAATAAATTGAACATATTTGGTTCTGATTATATAACACTTTTTTCTTAATATTCCTGAGTATTTTGTTATGTGTAATGCCGATCAGAAATCAAACATGCTGGCATAAAACAAATATAGATTGAGAAGGGATCTTTAAGGGAATTAACTCTGACATGTAAACATTATCTTGTCGTAAATCGATACTAAGACTTTTATTCAAGCATGAATCATGTAACTTCAGACATGTTTGCATGCATTAAGTATTTTTAATGTTAAACAATGAACGCAAATGCGAGATTAATTATTTTGATTTCTGGGAATGCGTCAGACAAATAATGGTATGGAAATTTAAAGTGGCAGTTTTTGTCTGAGAAACATCACGTCGCTACAGTTGTTTAATAGAATAGATAACCTTAGCTGTATTTGGCAAAACTGTTTGCAATTTAAGGTCCTAATTGCTCTACAACTTCGTACCTTATTTGGCCTTTTAAACCTTTTTTGATTCGAGTGTCACTGATGAGTCTTTTGTATATAGACAAAACATGTGTCTGGCGTACACAGTTTTGTTCCTGGTATCTATGATGAGTTTATTAATATTTACTATGAGCAGAAGATAAAAGTGATAACAAAAGTAATTCTAAAATGGGACATGGCAAACCCCTTTTATAACTGTACATTTCACACCGCCTTGAACTGTACTTACATGTAAGTAGCATGAAGTTCATCAAGAAAGACAGTCCTGAATATATAAATGATTTTTAACTATTCTGCTGTAACATATAAAACAAACGCATGCAAACTTACACATTAGTTTTACCAATGCTAAATATTGTATTCCTTTATTATTATAGCATCGGTTGATCCTGAATGTGTCGCTAAAGCGAAAAGTGGCGATTGCCAATTTTACAGATGCTTTGAACAACAACGACAATGCGGTTCCTCTGAGTATCTTATTGCATATGGCTACAAGTACTGTAACAGAATAAAACTATTCTCCTCTAGTTTTACAAAAGCTGGAAAAAGATCGATTGACTGTTTTAAGACTTGTTTAAGAAAAGCTCTGATAGGAAAATATGAAGAATCTTTGGGGCCAGGACAGAAATGTAATGAGTTGAAGACGTATGCGTTTGACACACATGTTAAATGCCACCGGGATTGTGCATCCTGTGATGTCTATTTATCAAACTTGTCGGCTTTGCGTAAAGTTTACAGTTTCTCAGATCCTCTAACATTAGAAGCTTGGAAACAAATCTTAACGATAGGAAAACAGTGCAATCTTGGTTAACCAGGAACTAATTATGTATCTAATAAAAACATAAATTACTGCATTTCGTGTTGTAGTTGAGAGAGAACCAATAACTTATTACAGCAAAATACTATCATATACAACGACAAGACAAACAATCATCTGGATTTAAGATTTAAACCAAAAAGAAACCCTTCAAATTTAAGACTTAAAATCATTCATTTAAAGTGGAAACAATTAAATCGTGAACATGATAAGGATCTCCTGTGAGGTTTGTAAAATAGGTTTCTGTAATAATAGTTTTGGTTCCTAAAATCCTATTATCTGACATGGACATATTCTTAATTAAGGCTGTTTCCTTTATATTTACGAACTTTTATATTTGTTATATTAAAATTTAGTTTTTGGCAATTCTTAAAAAAGTAAAATCACAAAAATACTGAACTCCGAGGAAAATTCAAAAAAGAAAGTCCCTAATCAAATGGCAAAATCAAAAGCTCAAAATTATTTTAACAAAGTAGAATTGCCAAAGTTTAATATAACATATATATCCACTTCAGACCACAATGACAACGAAATAAGGAGTTAGGCTAAGGTACACTAATTTCCTCCAATTTCGTTTTTCTAAATTTACACCATGGAATGGGAATGCGTCCATACATGATTTTTAAATTCTAATTGATATTCATCGTGCCATTTTATGACCAGTTTTGTAAGTACCCTTAAAACCAGTCGATCATACTTGCAGGCGTGCATTGTTGTGCTTTTTTTAAAACACGTTTCTCAATGATAATAGCAATGACTGTTAACATGCGTTGTCGAAAAAAATCTTAAAGTAAATCTGAAAATATTTTTAGTCTGAATGCATATCAATGGTTGAAAATTAATTCTCGTACGATATTCTGGTGGATAGAACTTTTAATAGTGTGAAAATAACTTTTAATAGTGTGAAAATAACTTTTAATAGTGTGAAAATAACTTTTAATAGTGTGAAAAAAAATCGTTTATATTCGCGTGAAGTGGTGGATATCACATTCCATATTTTGAAGTTGTGCGTTGACTAGTAGTTCTGGTTATACAGATTAATCTTCCGGAGCACCTGAGCCACAACCCCCAGTTTTTGGTGGGGTTTGAATTGTCAGTCTTTATTTTTTTATGTTGTGTTATGTGTACTGTTTGTCAGTTGGTTCTTTTTCTTTTTTAGCCATGGCGTTGTCAGTTTATTCTAATTAAAATAAACAAGAAACTAAAGGGAAAGAACATTTTGTTCTCATTAACACCGTTGTTTTGTTGAAAAGTGTCCTAAACGTTTTTTTTTCATCAGTTTTCACATTTTAAGAACTTTGGTCCATGTTGAGCACATCAGAAACTGAATTTCTTTTAAAGCATTTACATCGAAGACAAAATGGCATGAAATTTAGTCCATACAATGGCATGAAATTTAGTCCATACAATGGCATGAAATTTAGTCCAAACAATGGCATGAAGTTTAGTCTATACAATGGGATGAAATTAAGTCAATACAACGGCATGGAATTTATCCTATACAATAGCATGAACTGTAAGTCAATATGAGCATCTGCGTCATAATGAAATTCGCAAATCGCCATAAATAATTATCATTTTATCCATTAACCTTTAACACACGAGTAAGATCTTATCATAGAAATCCTATTGTTTATTTGGCAGTTGGTTGAGAGAAAAAAAATTTGTCATAACAATCGCATTATTTCCTTAACTTAACATCACGAATAAAACATCAAGAAATACCACCACCGGAGAAGATAATGGAATAAGTCTCATACTGCCTTGGTCATAATGCTTTGATTATATTTTATGTTAACTTTGCATCGGATCTGAAAATACACAGAAAGCAACAAACATAAAACGTGTATCTTATTACTGCTTAATGATTTCCAGTATTCTAATAAAATGAATAAACTATAGTCAATTCAGAACAACATCTGTCAAGAAGTTGTATACTGAAAATTATTTAAAAGTGTGCAGTCATATACACGAGGTGCCTTTTTATCGTTCGCATATATGTATGTTTAAGTTTTTGGTTATGTGTCTGTTTTTGTTTTTGTTGGTTTTGTGTTTTTTTGTATGTTTCCCAAACGCGTTGCATACATGTTGTCAATATAATAAAGTATTTATCAATATAACTTGAAATCCGTTTATTATTATACCATGTATACTTTAGCACACCGGAAATTGTTTTTGTATTTATCATACGCGATATTTTGTCTATCCCAAAGCAATGTTTTATCGATTGCGCGCTTTACTAAATACAGATGGTTGTTATGTACATATGACGTCATAGTTATAGTCAATAATAACATTCAGAATAATAAATTAAATAAAGCTTGGAATTGACAGAGCAGATTGTTAATCCCCGAAAGGAAAACATTGTGAATCTTTGGTGGACTACCAGGACAGCGCCGAGGAGTTTGTCACAACAGTAAGTGAACTTTTGAAGCGAGAACAGTTATTATAGGTTGTACCTCCTCTTGTGATAAATGACTTAGTAGTTTGTTTTCATTGGTAACCATTATGTTTGAAAGTTATTTAGTTATTTTCATTATAGATCGAGATAATTGTATTAGAAAGCTTGTAACGCTGATATTTTAACAAATTAACAATAAAGGGGTTATGTTCAGTGAATCGAGGGGGTTGGAGAAGGGGGTTAAGCATATAACCAAATCTTTCCCTTCTCAGTTTCGGTATTTTTGACTAGGGACTAATTTTGATTTAATGCACCGAACTGTTGAAACATTTATCAACTGAACAAAACAATGAAAGAGAGGCGAAAAATACCAAAGGGATATCAAAACTCAAAAGTCGATAACAAACTGACAATGACATGGCATAAAAAATGAAAAACGACCAAAAAACAATCAACAGTCTACAAAACACAACATAGAAAACTAAAGGCTGAGCAAATCGAACATAACCAAAAATCCTCGGGTGATCTCATGTGTTCCGGAAGGGCAAATAGAGCCTACTTCACATGTGTCACCCGTTGTGTTGCTCGTGATAGTTCATAGACGCTGAAAAGTCAAATAAAGAATCATTTAAGAAGGAAAAGATAAGGTAAGTTGATATTTGATATATACGTTGGTTAAAGTTTAGTTGTTTTATAATTCATTTATCAAATTATAAATCGTCAATTGATACAACATTTTTTTATAATGGCGAAATTTTTTATCCAATTGCGTTAATCTAAGTTTGCGGGAATACAATTGAAATCAAAATACCGGGTGTCACTCAAAATGATTAGTTGATTAAAAAAATTTGGCTAGTAGGCATCCGAAAGTGACCTCTTACTAGAGATTTACAATAAATGTAGGACCCGAGTCCGAATACGAGCCAGTGTAAGCCAGTTCAAATGACGGGGCGATCTCAAAATAATAAAATTATTGTAAACATTGTACTTTAATCATTATAGTATTAATTGAAAAGTTGATTTCGGTGATTGACAAAACAATGACAACCGCAATCTTTAACTAGGTGTGAGACGAGGAAGCCTCATACGAGTTCCAATGACTTTATAACATTCCAATTCGCCAATAACATGTTAAACGGAGATTCTGTATTCTGCAATGAGTCTGTTGAGTCTCTTATGCTTTCTTTTTTTTTTGTGTTCGGCTTTCTGGTTCACTGCTGTCTGGTGTATGTCGTGTATGACTGATAAAATAATTCAACCTCTTCCTCTTGACGAGGATCCGGTGCCACCAACTCCTGTATGAGCAGTATAAAAACCTGAACTTCAAAAAATGAATGATGGGCCTACAGCAAAAGCTGAAAAAATTGCCACAGATAAGCATCCCTTCGTAAATTTTGCGGACGCCATCACGAGTTGTTTGACCGTTATGGAATATCCGTTTCACAGATGATAGCAGATATGTTCCAAATGTCGTAACTACAATCCCGTCTCCTTTTCCCCTAATTTGACCTACAGAATTAGACTTATTAACGGGTTTGTACTAACATGAGCAAAACGACGGGTGCCACATGTGGACCAAGATCTGGTAACACTTCCGGAGTACGTGAGATCACCCCCAGATTTTGGTGGGGTTCGTGTTGCTCAGTTTTAAGTTTTCTATGTTGTGCTTTGTATACTGATGTTTGTCTGTTGGTCTTTTTATTTTTTCTCCATGGCGTTGTCAGTTTATTTTCGAATTATGAGTTTGAATGGCACATTTTGCCATTATAATAATATTTGGTATAGTTCGTCGCTCTTTTAAACAGTTAATTTTTTATCGATATCAATACATTATCAAAAATATTTTATCTATCACGAATTCGTCGACCTATACGACGTGTCTGCGTCCTAATGCAGAAGCGATATGTTCTTTAGATACCAGTATAGACGTCATATCTGTAGATTTACTGATTATATCCTATTCCTTTACGTTCGAAAACCATGAATGCATAATAAATGATATTTTATTTGAATATTTTTACAAAATACCGGATTTTTTAAATGTTTTTATGTTGTTGTTTGTATTATATAAATGTGAACACAATATATATGTAAGTGCGTTATAAAATAATTTTTATTTGAATAGTCTTAAAACATAGCGGATTTTTTTTTACTTGTGTTTGTCACTTTTATTTAATGTTGACATTTACAATTCAAATTAATCAAAATTAATGGCAAATAATTTTTTATTCATCAGTTAGATATATAAATAGGAAATCCGAATATCTCCGGGACAATATTCTACTCGGATGCATTCTATTTACACTGCACACCAGTTAGGGCATGGATCTTACTCTGGAAGTTTGTACTTATTTTTCCTGTGACTTATCCGATATGTACTACACGTAAATTTTGTTTTATTTACATGTAAGACAAATATTTTTTAAATATAATTTCTTTATTTAAAAGTTTATAGATATCTATTTCAACATTTGTTGAATGGTTTGGTTCCTATGCACCTGGAACTTGCCCTTCCCTGTGCAAATTCGATTTTTCAAGGTCACCACCACAAGTGCTATAGTTGTACATTAGCTGATTAGCTGTTGCACTATATTTCGAGGTTGTAATTCTATTTACGACATTAAAAAAAGATTGAC